CCTCTGTCTTACGTAGAACAATAAAATGTTCGTTTACCCTCTCATTTGCAGGCTATGGCTATTGGCTGCCCTGTGCTTGCTCGAAATATCCCGGCTAACCTGGACCTCATCGAACACGAGAGAACTGGACTAATTTTTAGTACACAGGCAGTAGGTTTCATGATTAATATCCTTCATATTTCTTACTTTCAGATGTCTGCTCGCAAGTACACATCTCCTTATTTATTCCTCTCTCAGTAACCACCGCTTTTATCATTCTGTCCGCATTCTCATCTCCCAGAGACTTTTCATCCCATCCTTCTACCGTATGTAGTTGTATTGCCTTAATTTGTCCTCTATCGTTGACTCCACGATCACAAAACTCACTTTTGGCCCAAACCAAAACAACCAGTATCATCATCATCATCAACACCACCACAATCACATCCGTCATCGTCCTATCTACCACAGGAGAGGGCGCTTGCGGACGCACGACCAGAGCCCTCCCTGAGCATGCTGCCGCTCCTGGCTCGGATCCCAGCTGAATGGGAGTGTCATAGAAGCCCTATTTAGAAGGCACCATTGCGGCCTGGCTCCTAGTCCACCATTCGGTCACTCGACACCAACGTACACTGCGAGATCTGAGTTCAGTCGCCGGTTGGCAATCTTCTAAGCCATGGATCCAAGCGCACCGAGGTAGTCTCAGGTTCGGATCACGCTTGCGAAAGTGTCGGCATAACTGGAGACAGCCGAGGAGACCCTTCGCACTTACGTGAGAGGTCTTGTTGGTGCGTGATCATGTGTGAGTTAGTGAGTAGCGGAGCACTTGTGTGGTATGTCGGACTGTTTTCTACAACAGGTTTTCGTGGAGACGATAGTTTGACCGCCGAGGAAAATCTTCGCTGCTGCCTCAAGAGTGGGTTTCAGCAGTAACTCTTGCCCGAATCCACGGAAAAGACTTGTGCTGCATTTGCTTAACTTCGCAACACAACTTCTGCCGTATTCCTGTGGCCCTGGTGCGATACCAGGTAACGCCAATCACATAGTATAGACGTGGCGCAAGTGAGCTGGTCGCCGACTCCACTCACGGCACGTTTAATTCAGTAGGAATTCTGGGTTCTCATTAAACTGGGACTGCCATGCAGGCGACCTTAAACAGCGGTCATTATAATCTAACCGCAGTTGGTAGTCTAGGCAGATAACATTGCTGGGAAAGATAAGGGCGCCTGAAATCGCCATTTCTGGCTCATTAGCCATAATCAGCCAGTCATATCCAACCCCAAGTAGTGCATCACCCGGAGCTCAAACCACTCGACCGTTTGATCAGAAGTCTAAGGCTGAAACCATTGAGCCAATGCTATCTGTGTAGACTAGTAGCCGCTATGCGAGTGCTGGTGTGGCTCGAGAATGAGCCCCAAAGCAGAGCGAGACGAATAAGTCTCGTTAGCGATCGGTGACGTTACTCAACGAAATTGAGAATGTTATGCAGACCACCGGCAATACGGGGTTACTGTAATCTAGCCCTTGCTTCTAAAACATGACAGCCATCCGGTTGGCTGGCAGCTTTCCAAGCCAGGACTCTTAGCACATTGTCTCTGTTATAGCAGGAGAAATGGGCTACATTTACATCCTCCGACTAAGACGAGTGAGTTGGATGTAAGCGCAGTGCCCGACAAAATTAAACCGGCATCTACACGGGCCACACACATACCTGTGCTGTGCCCACCCTACACTTGGTTTAGGAAGATGATCTCGGAACTCTTTCCAAGAATACGAAGTGCAGATTCGCATTAAATAACTGAGATATTGCAACCTGATCCTCAGCAGGAGACGGCTGGCGAGGGTTTAGATGTCGCTGTGGTAGCTGAAGTGGCGTCACATTATTTAGGCCTGGGATCAGTCTCGGGTTCATTCTTGGAATGCAGATGACTTTGGAGTCAGCGCCTAGACGCTCGTAAAAGACCTGTTTGGCACGTGTCCGCCGTCGCTGAAACAACAGTGCAGCTCCTACTGTGCCCTTTATTTTCTGTTTTTTGTAGGAGTTGAAATTGAGTCTCCAGAAGATAACCGAAGACAGCGATCTCCGTTCCCGATTGGTGCAGAATGCAATGCAGAAGATGCGCTCACCGGAGTATCAGTTTGACTGGGAAGCTGCATCCTACTTAAGACTGCTGAAGGAGATCAGTTCCAGGCCACTGCATCCCAGCCCTTGAGTGCTGGCAGTGTTTATGCCTGGCTGGTTGTGCTGGCTGTTCTTACGTCTTTCTGCCCACCCCCCTCCCCACCACCACAT